GCAGCGGTTACCAAGATATACACATGTAACCATAAGTGGGCGTGGCTACGCCCATTTTCCAAAAATTTATAATATTCTTATTTTTCGTCTGAAAATTGTTGTAAATATCATTTTTGAGTGAAAAATCTTCAGTAGTTAATAAAATATCGAAGTTTTCGTATTTCTGAAAATTACCGTTATATGGGAAGTAGGCGTGGTTATTGAGCGATTTTAAAAATTTTCGGCCATTTGGTATGTTATGCGAAGGCCAACAACTGTGCCAAGTTTGGAAGAAATTGGTGCAGCGGTTACCAAGATATACACATGTAACCATAAGTGGGCGTGGCTACGCCCATTTTCCAAAAATTTATAATATTCTTATTTTTCGTCTAAAACTTATTGTAAATATCAATTTTGAGTGAATAATCTTCAGTAGTTACTAAAATATCGCAGTTTTCGTATTTCTGAAAATTACCGTTATATGGGAGGTAGGCGTGGTTATTGTCCGATTTTGCCCATTTTCAATACCATCCGTCCTACGCCCGAAAGAAGTACACGTACCAAGTTTCGTTAAGATATCTTAATTTTTACTCGAGTTATCGTGTGCACAGACGGACGGACAGACGGACGGACGGACGGACAGACAGTCACCGCTTAATCGATTTCTCTTTTCATTCTGATCATTTATGTATACATTTGTCTATATCTATCTCGATTCGTTTTGGCTGTTACAAACAACCGTTATGTGAACAAAATTAATATACCCTTGTGCACAAGTGCGCTCGGGTATAAAAAGAAATATAGCCAATACTGGTCAAGAAAAGGAGTTTCTATTATTGCCATCAGTGCAAATTACAAATCCTGAAAATCCCGGGATTATTTGACAAGAATTCCGGGATTTTTGGGACCTTAAAAATGCCGGGATCCCGGGATTAACATTCCTAGTATGTACATTAGATGGTGACAAATAAAACGAATGTTTTTTTCTTTCAGTACCATCTAAAAATTTCGTTGTCGCTCACAAAAAAAATTATTGTGGCAAAATTTGAAATTGAATGGGCTACAAGGTTGTTTTTTTTATTTGTTATATTTAATTTTTATTAAAAAAAATAGCGGGAAAATTATTATTTTTTCATTAAAAGCTTTTATTTTTGCGAGCTCCAACTAATAAATGAAGATAGGAGGCTGAAATTTTGCCACAACAAACCGGGCGACTGGGTCAACTTGTCAAATAAGGTTAAATAACCTACACAAAGAAAGAAGTAATATGTTTTTTTCAAAAATTGTCGTTTTCGGGGTTTCCATATTAGCGATTTTAAAATTTTGAACAGAAAAACTTTTTTATAAAGCACTTTCACATTATTGTAATTTACGGCTCATTTGTAATTCATAAACAAATCATGCTGAAATCAACTAATTTTGACATGTAAAATTTGTCAATAAATGCGGAATTCGCGAAAGTTCAACCAATTTCATTTGATATCATAATTTTAAGCTGTTTAATCAGATTTTTTAGAAAAGTTTTATGTGGATGAAAATGCGAAACACCTCTAACCAAAAAAAAATCTCAAAAATCAGCGCGAATTTCGAGGTACTTGAAACTTTCACTATTTGTACTGAAATTGAATTAGCTATAAAACTTCATACTCAAACATTTTCTGTCAGCCTGGTACTTCAGCGCAGTAACATCACGTTGCACACAGGAGTATTTGTATAATAAAACCTGTCGAAATTCAGATTTATCAACTTTCATATAATCTTTAAACATATTATTTCTCAAGCTGTATAAACCGATCGATCAGTTAGCAGCCAGTCCCCGCCGCTACTTGATTTTTGACTACGCCAAATAGAACATAGCCTTTATTGTGATCATTTTTTTTCTGCGCTTCCAATAGCAGCATTTGTTTCTTTCGTTATTATGTTTTTTATGGACCAATCTTAAAATAAAACTAGTAGACATGCGAATAGAAAGCATATACTATAATTTATATTTTTTGAATTATTTGAAATGGGGCCTACGGGATATTTATTTTTAGTAAAAACTTCAAATATGTAACAGTCATTTTATTTGCTTGTCGAGCCTCCGGAAATATTATTTTATGGGGATATATTTTGCATTCTTGGCTATAAACGTCTGGTATAAAACTGTCCGCCTACGTCTGCTTTCTGCGGGATTCCAAGCAGATGTGTTCAATGCCTAGTTATAGGGAGAATCGGTGCTGGTATAGCTAAAAATCTGTTATTATTATTATTATTATTGCCCATATGCACCGCGACCTCTGAAGTGATCTATTGTGCGTGACCCTCCGCCCTATAGGGGAAGGCTTTGAAGCCTAGCACTTTCAAGGGCATTTTGTTCCAAATTTCAAATGGATTAGGTGTAGCACCACCCAAGTGAGCTAGTCTGCGCCTAGCAAGAGCGTCACATTCACAGATAATGTGTTCTGGCGTTTCCTCGTCCAGCTCACAGAAGCGACAGACATTTGTTTCATAAAGATTCATTTTAATGAGGTGATAGCGAGTTATGTCCCGTATAGTACCCAGTGAGAGTTTTTAGGTCTTCTTTGCCTAAGTTGAGTAGTTTCTTTGAAGCTTCTTTTCAAGGGAAGATAAA